CTCAGGGAGAGTCCATACCTTGAGTGGCTATGGGCCTCAAACACAACCCAGACTTAAGTGGAACTGTTACATATAATCCATCACTAAAGTTGCTGGAAAAATGGTCTACCTGACTCCTGCTATCCTCTACATTTACAAGAGCCAGGTCAGGCTGAAAATGGAATATAGGTAGGAGCTGAGCAGTCTTTCCTTTGGTTTGTTTTGTTTTACGGCATATCAACACCTCAATGGGTTATTTAATGCCGACAACTTTTTTTCCTGGTAATATTTTGTTTTGTCAAAAATCTATTTCTGGTAATATTTTTTTTTCCTCAAAAATGTATAGCTGGTAATATTATTTTCAAAAACGTATTTCTGGTAATATATTTTTTCAAAAACGTATTGCTGGTTCAACAATTTATTTCTGCTAAAAAATGTTTACAAAGTATTTCTGGTATTAAATCTATTTTTACACTTTTATAATGCTTTTTACCTCACTTTAGGGGTTAACTATTTGCCCACAGCTGGGACCCTAACAGGTGCTACCACCCTAGGCCTGGGTGGACCGGGGAACACCAGCAATTAAGAGGTGGCTCCACGCTCCTCAAAATTTCCTGATCAGAGGCCTTGCTGTTGGATGTAGTTTATCATCATACCCAGGGCGACAGTCTTTCCTTTCCATTCTTGATAGAGTTCAAAAGTGTCTCTGTGTCCTTGTGGGTAATGAACTATTTTCTCTCCTGCAATCCCTTCCCTATGCACACTGTAGGGAACCAACCACATTCTCTTCATATTCCATTAGTGCAATGTAAGTTCCACCCAAGCAGCTTCATCCCATGAACTGTTGCTTTGTGGAACCAACTCACAAGAGGATGCTTCCTCGATTGCTACAATCTTAATCTATTTATATCTAGAGTCAGCCATTATTTTCCCCCTCCATATCCCCATAAACTGTACCTCTTAATCTGTGACACTCTACATTTGTGTAGCTCTTGTGTTTTGTACAAGTTGAACATCACAATAAAAAAAAAGTATATTTTTCTTTTCATTTTCTCTAAAACTTTTGTTGCTGACATATTCAGTTTCTAGCATGCTCAGCATCCTTCTGTAGAACCGCATTTCTGTTGCTTCACATCTTCATCTGTGAGGAGATTGTCTAGCACTGACTGCCATATAGGAGGACCAATATTACTCTTTTCTTTGTTTATAATGAAATTTTCTTGTTTCTTAATATTTTGTTTAGCTTTTAGATGGCACCTTTCACTATTCCAAAAACCTTTTGGTTTTGTGTGCCACATTTTCTGTTGAAACACTTCCCAGATAGTTAAATTTCTTTGTTAATCTATAAAGTCTGTTCAGAAAATAACCATTTCAAATATGCTGAGAACTGGTTGTGCGGCCTTGATGTAATTTGGAAAGCAATCAGAGGAGACCTTACAAAAACTAATTTACAGGTAGATGGGCATAATGAGAGTAATCTATTTTCTGTTGAAAATGGCTGAAAAGTAACCAACCAAATGTTGTGACAATAACAAGAAAAATGGGGATAAAGGTCTGATTAAACCAGATAATAATAATGATAAATTCTTTTTATTGTGAGGAATTAACATCCTAAAGTTAACATTGCATGTAAAAGTAGCCGACTACAACAGGACAATGTTTGCTTAACTTGGTCACAAATAAATTACCTTTTTCTTCATTTGCATATAAAAGTGTAAGATAATGATATATATTTTTATTATTTACAGTAGTTACATTGTTCAAACTATTGTCCTCATCTTTGAAGTAGAAAAATCAGGTGTGGCTGACCACATATGGATAGTGAAGTGAGATCACCGCCCTCTGTGGGATCATGTTGAGATCATAGATAGGGAATATCACTGGAAAATTCATAAACCTAAGGAATCAGCACATATGCTAGGCCACAAAAATCTCCTGAGCCGACCAAGCATAGAAATAAATACAATATGGGAACCACTAATAAGGAGTGCCAGAGAAAAGCAATGATAACAACAAAGTTGCAATATGAGCTCTGGTAAAAACATGAATGATAACAGAAAAATTGCAATATGAGCACTGGTAAAAATGGTTGCTGAAGACATTAGGTTTATAATACCCAGAAATTCATACCCAGATTCATACCCAATCCTCAAGGACACATGGCACAGTGGATAAAGGCATTGGTTAGATCCAGTGACAAGACCCAAAGAGTGTGAGTTCAATACCCGGTTAAGGCAGTGGAGAACTTTCAGAGGGAAAATTAACAGAAGATAACTGATAGCTGACATCCATCAAACATGGCACGTGGAACTAGAACAGTCTACACTACTGAGCGAAATAAAGGGCTCAGTTCGACATTCCAACCACCTGAAGAAGGCCGGAGCGTACAACAGCCAAAACGTTGTGATAAATATGGTGACAAAGATGAGGACAATAGTCCAAATAATGTAAATAATGTACATAATACTCTGTCCTTATCTATGTTGCCATATTCATGATGTTTCAGCTATTGTAGGCGATGACCTTCTTCAGGTGATTGGAATTTCAGACCAAACCCTTTATTTCTTCCACTGGTGTAGATTGTTCTAGTTCTAGAAATAAAGGGTTTGGTTCAAAATTCCAATCACCTGAAGTGTACAACATCTGAAACATTGTTAATATGGCAACAAAGATGAGATGTAAATACTGTAAATAATTGCAGAAATATAGACAGATCCTGAAGAAGGTCGAGGTGTAAATTTGACAACCAAAATGAGAACAATAGTCCGAATAATGTAAATACTGTAAATAATTAGAGTACCTCATTGCAGAAATATAGACAGATCCTGAAGAAGGCAAGAATGTACAGCATCCAAAATGTCATTAATATGACAACCTAGATGAGAAACATAGACAGATATATTCATTTTTATATATCAAGAACTATAATAGGAAAAAATGTATGACAAAGTAGAAAAAGTTTTCTTGTGACGCATATCGTTCTTCTAAATTTGTTATGTTTATGCGACTTCACATGCATACTAACTAGGGATTCTGGGAATTTAAAATTTGTATTCATTTACATTATTTGGACTATTGTCCTCGTCTTTGTTGCCGTATTTACTATTATTATTGTAATAAATATGGCGACAAAGATGAGGACAATAGTCCAAATAATGTAAATAATACCTCATCTCGGAAATATAGACAGATATTGTATTCATTTATTTTTATTTTTTTTATCTGATTTCCCTTAAATTCTTTTTCTTTTCAATACTTTTGTTAGTAGATATCCCACCCTGTGATAAAAGAAGTTCTGCCAGGAATGGGAAAGTGTTGTAAGAGCCAGAGTGCAAATTTACCATGGATGACCTTGAGATCAAGCACTCTCTAAACATTTTTGTCAATCACTCTGACAAGGGAGGTGGGATTGTGAAAGAATAGAATACATACATAGAAATCAAGCCAATTTCATTTAAATTCTGGGAATCTAAAGAAAAAGAAAAGGAATCTAAATGAAATCAGCTAGATTAAAAAAAAATTAAATCCCAGCATCCCTCGTTTATATGCATGTGTAGTTGCACCAACATAACAACTTTAATCCAGTAAAGTCCTAAAGGGCAAAAAGTCCTGTAGAATTTCATTAAGACATTATTCTGATTATCAAATATTATGTCTATCTGTCTATTGATCTATATATGTTTTTGGAAATTATTTTCCATCATACAACTCCTTTCTCAAAGATAAAACACTGTTAGCCCCTAGCTACTCTATTGCTAATTTCATGGTAGATGTTCAGATGAGCTTGTTGTGACCTGTCAGACCACCGGTTACTTAACTCAAACAGAAGTGCTCACTTTGATATCCAGCACTCCTATGATTTTAATTTTGTCCAGCTTCATGCACCCACTTTCAGAATACATCCGCAAAATACCAGGGTCATCAAACATCTTTTCTGACTAATCAGAAAAAGGTCCACGCAGTTTTCTCTGCAACCATTTCTGTACTCTTGACTGATTATAAAGCCGAACAGACTGGCATTAGCAATGGACCCCGTGGCTGGCAATCTTAACCAAGCCATTAGCAGTGACATCAAGGCACTTTCATCAACAGTGATGCTTTCAGCCGACTTAGTGTGCCGTGTGAGCTATGAGTGGCATAGGGTTTAACAAACGGGTTGCATTTCCATATGATGTACAAAGTCACCATGTGAAGTACAAAGTCAAACCTATGTTAAACATGTTCTTTGATGTAATAGGATTGTCCAGATAGAATTCTTGCCACAAGGCCAGACAATCAACCATCATGTCTACAAAGAGATCCTAGAGTATTTGCTTTTTTCAGTGCATGAGAAGAGATGAGAGTTGTGGCAGGACAACTCAGGGCTGCTTTACTATAACAATGTGCTAGCTCATAACCCCTTGATCATCTAGCAGTTTCTTGCTGAGAACAACATCACCACGCTGGAGCAACCTCCTTACTCACCTGACTTGGCTCCATGTGATTTTCTTCCTTTTCTCCAAGATCAAGGGAGTCATCAAGGGTACTCATTTTCCGGATTTGGAAGCCCTCAAGAGCACTGTGATGATAGAGCTACAGAGAATCCCATGGGAATCCTTCCAGGAGTGCATGGAGGGATGACAGAAGAGGACGGAAAAGTGTGTTAGACTTGAGAGGCATAATTTCAAATGGGAAAACTAGTTTGTAGTTTAGATTTGGCATAAATTTTTTGTAACGTTAGTCCTGTTCTGTTTTGACGTAACTAATAATAAAAAAAAAATCTCATCAAGAAAGAAAGAGAAGTAGAAAAAGAAATGCATTTGATTCATTCATTCATTTTTTACAGCTAATTGATCCTTTGCAGGTTATTTAAAGCCAGAAAATATTTTTAGATTCTAAGAATTTTTCTTTTAAAATAAGAATGATTTAGTGATACAAGTCTTTCTAATTAACCCATAGCTGATGGGAGAAGAGGTGGATGCATACCTTTCCTAATGGTATTTTCACATAATGAATATAACAAACCCAACTCAGCTCCAAACTTACAGCACCTAGTATTCCCAGCCAGTCACTCATCTACATACTGACTAGGCTCAATATTGCTTAACTTCAGTGATCAGATGGGAACTGGTAGTTTCAATGTGATATGGCTGTAAGTAGAAAGGAATGAGGTGAAAGGATTTCTGCGTTGGAAATCAAATGAGAGAGGTAAAAGAGAGAGAAATTGTTTCCATAACATTCCTGTGCATATAAACCTTCAAGCTGATCAGATATTGATCCTACTCGTCTCATCTGTAATAAATAGGAAGGAAAGTGTACTAGGTGAAATCATTTTTTCCTTGCAATCACAAACCAACATCAATAAAAAAAAAAAAAAACCTCTGTTCAACAAGTGGACAAGACTCTCTTCATTTTTTTTTTCCTCCAAACAGACTCTCTATCCAAAAAGAGAAAAAGTAAAGATATGATGTCATTTAATTTTGAATCACTGGCTTAGTTGATAGATATATATCTATATACATTCTATATCTTAACCAGTTTGAGATTTAATGATAATTGAATAAATATGAAAGGCCTAATCATGTCAAGGCTTAGCAATCATGCAAATAGGACCTATAACTAAGGATGGAGACATGTAGAGACCTAAATTATAAATCTCTTTTACACTTGGATTACCTTAAGTGTATTATTCAAGACATTGAAGTAATTAAGCATAAGGTTCTTTAATTTTTGTTTTATAGGATACAAATCCTATATCATTCCAAGAAATGACTAAAAAACACAAAGTAGATTTGCACACCTGCAAAATCGGATCAAAATGACCAAAAACAGATTTCGCAATAAGGTGTGAAATTAATTTTCTGACCAATGAAAGGAGGCGATTTGCTAAACTAAAAAAAAGATAACGATCCAATGTGAAAAAAAAGTCAACAATAAATAGAGAGTTTCAAGTCAGTCACCAGTCAGAAGGGTGCAGAGATCATAGAGGACAGAAGACTGACAGTCAATTCCATCACTGACTCAACCCGACACTAAGAGCCAAAAGTGGAGTAGGAAAGGAAAACAACAACAACAACAACAACAACAACAACAACAAATTTACAACTGACTCCAAAACATTTCAACCCGATAAGTACATCTTCCTCTTATCTTTTATTTCTCATCCACACTCTCTTTTTCAACTTAAATTGATCGCCCCTTTTTCCTTTACACCTATACAAAAACAAAAGAAACAGACATTACTCTGCTACTCTGTTGAAAGACAGCAAACACAGACATTTTTGTCAAAATCACATTTTGCTTAAATGAACTAAAACATTGGTTGTAATTTTTTTTACTTACTGAATATTCCATGAATAATTGTCACATAAAGTTAATATTTTGTTCTATAACAATGAAAATATTGACTATAAAATTCATTTTTTATTAATTATTTTTGTTCTCTTTAACCTTTTTTTTAAAAAGTATATTGTTGAATTTTACTGTCCTTTGTAAAGATTAACTTTTTGGTGGATTTGTACAATAGGCATTATGACCAGAAATAACCATTTCAAAATTGTTTTCATGCTACTTACTTTATAGATTAATTATTTCAGATCACAGATATTTTTAAAAAATAGATTTTTTTATTAATTGGTGCATATTTTATATCAGTTCAAAAAATTCATCTTGCAAAACCTAAATTACTTTTCAATTAAATGCTGATGTTAAGCAATACAACTTTGATCGCAGCCATAATTACTCAAAATGTGTTTATTTTCTGGATGAAATCTCATATTAAACATTTGATAACATAGCAGACCTTGAAACTCAGATCTGTAAAGATATTAAAATGTCACTTTTATATATAACAGATTATGTTACAAGAAAAAAAATTTCTGTCAAAGAAGAAATATTTAATACTGATACAACTTTTTCCTTTCAAGAATATGGTTTTTTTAAGAAATAGATTGTGGTAATTTTTAAATTTCACTGGATACCACAATTCAGTGGGTATTTTTCTGCTTTATAGTCTTTCTAAATTTAAAGCATGCAGGAATTCTGTGACAAACATCTTTTTTAGTTTCTTAAATGCATTATTTAAATATTAAAAAAAGACTTGCTATTGTCAAATATATTTTTTTAAATTATTGTTTGTTTGATTCTTCTAAGGCAACTAAAGAACTGCCATTAAAAGTTTTGAAATTACCTTAAAATTTTATTTATAAAATGTTCATACAATTCCCTTGTACAATTCTCATTAAGACTTCATATTAAAAAATCATATTTTTTCAGTTAGTAAACGTGTTCATGAATCTACATTAAAAAAAAAAAAAAAGAAGAAATTACAACCATTCAGAAAAACATCTGTTGGGTAATTTTTATCTTTAATTTTCTACTTTTTTTTATATACAATGAATTGGTTAACTCACCAAATTATCTTGTTAACTTTTTGATCATGTTAATAATTAATTAATTATTATTAAATTATGTATACTGGTAATATCTATTATTGTATCATAGTGAAGTAAATATTTTCTTCATCTTCTGTAAAACAAAAGCAAACACCTGTAGATACGATAAAAATCACAATAAAATTTACAAATGTTATCAAAATTATTACTTTTTCAAATATTTTCAGATTTTATTCACCCATAAATTTGTAAAATGTTGAACTTGTTTTCTGTCTGTATTATACAATTATATCTTCTATTCTGCAAAATCATGTAAAATGGTCCTAATTTGTGGTGAATAAAGTGATTTTTTTTGCATTTACTTAATAGAGTGGGGGTTAGTGTTATTCTTTCTTTGTACATTAGCATTTATGAAATTAAGTCAATAATTGTAAGGTGCTTCCTGATAATAGGTACAGTTGCTAATTAACTAAGTACTGGATATTACTCACAAGTTCCTTGCTAAAAATGTTCTCTGTAATTGTTATTTATTAATAATTTGATGTAATGGAATAACCAATCACCCCCATGAATAATTACTCTATAGATATTAAGTACCTATAAAGACAACCGTCTATGAGAAACTCATTTAAGGAGTGAGCGAGATGATGCAGGCACGTCCGACCTTCCAATTAGTGGCACTCACTACTAGATTGACCTGTGTGTATAAATCAGACTTCTTAAATAGATACAAATCTGCTTCAAATTCAGTCAAGATTGAAAAATATTTAGGTGTAACTTACTTTTTCCCATTGGTTAAAAAATCACAAAATGTTTCTCTTTAAACCACACCTGTTTGCAAACTTTATTTTGGCAAGTCTTGAGATGATCACAGTTTGTGTACAGATTTTGAAAGGCAAATTTTTTGTGTTTTTTTAATAAGTGTCAGGCTTCATTTTGACTTTTTCTTTTACAACATCAGACACAAAATTTTTACACATCACATTCAAGGCATTTTTTTACTGTCTGGCTTCATTTTATCAGTTTTTTTTTAATTTAAAGAATATGTGTTAGTAATTTTCTTCCTTTAATAAAAGTTTTTTCAAACACTCCTTTCAAAGAAAGTGTAATAAACAAACATGGTCTATTGTATTATTTTTTTTATTTACCTTTTAATTAATTTTATACAATGTTACATTTCTTTTTAATTACATAAATATTTATATAATCACAGTCTTTTTACTATCCTTCCCAGTTGATGTTCTGTTTACACATCTCGTTACATAGGTTACTCACTGTTTTAGTCTGCCCGTGTTATCTTCAATATATTCTTTGAGTATCAAATTCTCTATGCCCTATTTCCTTATTGTGTCCCAGAAATTTAAACACTTTCTGATTCTAAGTTCATTATTATTAATTCTCTATCTTTTGATATCAAGCACTTTAATTACAAAGGCTGCTTGCCCAAAAAACATTATCCTCCAGAAAACTGTCATCAACCTTTTTTTCTTTGTGTGTAGCATAATCTTTGTTTTATAAAAAAAGATTTTGTTTCAAGAAATAAAAATGGTTAACCACAACATTTCCAGATGTTTTTCAGGTGGTTTGTAATTAAATTGCTCTATATCAAGAGACAAAGCAATAAAATAAATAAATTAAAATCTTCACTTATCTTGCTCTTTTAAGATTATATCCACTTTTCAGTACTTCATTGTAAAATTCCATTTTAGAGTCAAGTATCTTTGTGAATGTAATCTCTGTGAAACTCAAAGTAGGAATAAGATAAGTGAACATTTAATTTTATCTGTCATCATTATTATTATTATTATTATATGTATATATATATATTTAAAATATATAAGAGTGGACATTGAAGTTGACACCCAGAGGCAATAGTTTGTTTCATGCTAAACAATTCTGTCAGGCCTGATGATTGTGTTTAGTATATAACTGTATAAAACAGATTTTTTTTTCTCTTCAATGCCCACTTTTATATTTACATATGCTCTATCCCTGATATTGAGCACTTGTCCAAGAAGCTCCAATACAAACATTTCAGAGTATTTGGATGTCAATCTGAGGACAGTACAAAGGATTTGGAAAGAGTTGGATGAGTCTAATGGTGATTATAAAGGTATGGCAGCTTCTGATCATTCTAAGAAAAAAAACTCCTGAATTTGTTGGTGAGGACCTCAGATTCAACACAGAGGCCTACAGAAGAGATAGTGTTTCTCTGGGTCAAGAGGTTGGCTGCTGGAAGACCCTATGTCTGGCAACAGGACTCTGCACCATGGCATACTAGGTGAACCCAGTCATGGCTGTCAGACAATTTCTGTGACTACACCACCCCTTACATCTGGACATCTAACTCCCCCAGAGAGCAACCCCCTTGATTATTATATCCGGGGGGGCAGTTGAGTGAGAGACCAACAAAACTTCTTTTAACACCAAAGATGAACTGAAGGCAATAATTATGGCAGTATTCACCAATTTAAACCTGAAGACAGTCCAGAAGAGATGCAGGAGATTTTGAAGTCAACTGGAGGCCATGGTTGAAGTAAATGGTGATTTTATTGAATAAATTTACTCTTTAGTGTTTAAGGATTTTTTTGTGTAATTTTGGTAAATCTATTTGTTAAAATGAGATATCTGTCCTATTTTTATTTTGGCATAATTTAGACGACAATTTATCCATCGCACCGTTCGTTTGTTTGTTATATATATATATATAATCTTTTATTTCAGATTATAATCCAAATCCAATGTGATATATGTGCAAAGC